TGTGTGTGTGTGTGTGTGTGTGTGTGTGTGTGTGTGTATGAGACTATCTATCTATCATCTATATCTCCTGGAGAGTCAATGATGCAGGTTATGACCTAAGTCCAAGTCTAAAGGCAGGAGAAGAGAAAACTTATGTCCCAGTTTGAAGACTATCAGTTCGAGAGAAAAGAATATTTTCTGGCTCAGAATTTTGTTCTATTCAGGTCACATTGGAGTGGGCAATCTGCTTTACTAAGTCTACAGTTTCTAATGTTGCTCTCATCCAGAAACACCTCACCGTTGTCCAAAATAAACTTTAACCAATATCTAAGAACCCATGGCTCAAAGTGAGACATAAAATTAAGCATCATGAAGCCTGTCCCTTGCATGTGCGTGCTGCTCTCTAAGTTGAATGTGGGAGGAGCTGTGTGAGGCTGCCACTACTGAGAACTGACTGAAATGGAAATTCGCAGCTCCCTGCAAGAAGAAACATGTTGGAAATCATTCTGTGCACTCTTTTATCTTCTTCAGGCTGTGGCTACTTAGTTCCAAAGCATAAGCAGAATTTTCAGAATGAGAGGGAAATAGGTTGGGACTTTAAGAATATAGGTTCGTAGGGTAGGATTATTTGAGTGGGCCTGCACACAAATTATTTTCACTCTTCTTCCCTAACACCTATTCCAGCCCATTCCTTAATGGATACATTCTCTGATGGGGTTAACTATGATCGTTACAGAAGGACACTAACTGAAGGGCTCTACAGAAAAATAGCCCAGGCTGGGAATTGATCTAGTAGGGGGTAATTTGAAAAGTGGAATTTGTGCTCTGGCAGGCTCTAGAAATTTACTGTCTTGCTCAATGGGATTAGTTGTCCAAGATGAAGAATATTTTCTTCTCCTGCCATCACGTCTTCTGGTTCTTCTTTCCACTATTTGTTCTTGTTCCCTCTTCTGTACCAGTGGCTGGATCCATGGCAGTAACATTCCAGATCTTCAGTACTGGGCACAGAAACACAGTCAACTTAGCTATGGCTAAATGAAAGCAGAGGAAGTAGGTAAGGATGTTGTTTAAAAGGAAGAAAGAAGAGTGGCTAGGGAATAGCTCAGTGGTAGACTATGTGCTTAGTATGTGCAAGGCCCTGGATTTAATCACATGCTTGCACACGTGTGTGCGTGTGTGCGCACACACACACACACACAAAAGGAATAAATAAATAGAGTACAGAATTAGACTCATGAAGAAATTCTGCCACTCTCACATTGTAATTTTCAGGAAGCTCTTATTTATTAGCATGGGAAATATTTTCCTGATGGCTTCGGTCATTTTTCGATGAGTCTTCGGCCCTCCCTTGAATTGTCCTTCTCTGAGAGACAACAGCTTTGTGACCAAGGACAGGGGATGGGTCCAGCTGAGGGGACTCAGAAATCAGTAGGACTGACTGTTGTCAGAGGATGACTGATTAAAAGATGTATGTTGATGGGAGACACTCTAACATAGAACTCCCCCTTGACCCCCACATTGGCTAGGAAGCAAGAGGGCTGAGGTGTTTGGGGTTGTGCATTGAGGGAAGGTTATAGAAAATTAAGGAATACAGCCCACTCGGGTTGGGAAAAGGGAGGAAGGTGAAAGATTGTTAAGAGAGAACATGCTGCAAGAGAACATTTCATATCTCTTTTGTCTGTGAATATATAAGCTTCCTAGACTATCAGGGCCATAGGTCATACTGCTTAGTGGGGTGGGGATGGTTGCCCACTGGGTCCAGCAGAGTAGTTGGCATGCAGCTCCATCCATTCATTTGTCTCCCACCCATCCATCCATCCCATCTGTACCTGAGCCCATCTACCCATATGCCTATTTATCCATAACTCATCTACCCATCCATACATCTGTCCACCCACCCATCCAACTTCAGGGACACACCTGTGGAATGGCCACCATGAACTACACACAATGATAGTGCTGAAAAGGTAAAGAAAAAGCTCTAGTCTCCTGCTACAGGAGTTCACATTCCAGTAGGGAAGACAGATAAGTAGACCAACAGTAATGATCAGAGTGAGGAACACCTTGAGAGAGTGTTTTGATGGGAAGAGAAGCCCCCTGTTTGGAGTCTAAAGGGAGATGGCTCCCTGGAAGAGGTGCTATTTCAGCTGAGTCCTAGAGGGGGTATACATTACAGAAAACTTCCTACCCACAGTAGAGATTCTGACAGGACTTCCTTTTGTGTTTCAGGGGAAAATAAGCCCTTCCTCCAGGTTTTGTGTGCCCTCCTTACACACATCACAGAAGGGATATCTTACCCCACTTGCCCTCATTCATCCTAATTTGCAACTTTTTTCATTCTCCAGTGTTTTTTCCCTGCTGTGTACAGACATACTCTGATCTCTTTGATCTTAACATTTTAGTACAGCAACAGTAAAATCCCTTCTGTGACCCTAGTCCAAGGGTAGCTCCTCCCCATGTTTTTCTGTTCACTCTGGGCAGTCCACACTCACTGTCACTCTTCCCTCTTTGAACATTGGCAGACAAGCTTTCTCTTTGGGGACAGGTCTTTTCTGTCCCCTTAAGCTGCCTATACAGTGGTACCAGCGTTCTCTGTTTTTACCAGATGGTATTCTTGACCTTTGCTCAGCTGACCAGTGAGTGATATCTGACACAACCACCCATTCCTTCCTGAAAAATTCTTTCCTGTGTTTCAGGTCCACCAGTCAGGTCTTCCTTCACAATGGCCCTTGAGTCTCCATGTCCTTAGCTGGTGTCCCTAATTCCCTGTCCTCAACTGTTCCTTCCCTCACACTGTCCTAGTGCCTAGTGCCTCCCTGTGCTTTCAGCTGCCACCTGTACACAGATGCAGCTCAGGCACTGAGGAGCTTCAGACTCATTCTCCAGTGACCTGTGTATGAGAACTCAGACCTCCTCACACCTTGCACTGAGCTCTCCTCCTTCATCCCATCCTGTCACCTTGAGTGCAAGGTACTGTCATCTGCCCTGACATTCACATCAGAATCAGGGAGTAACCCCAGTGCCTCTCTTCTAACTCACTCCATCCAGTCAGTCCCCAAGTTTTGCAACTGTGTATTTCATATATCTAGTGTCTTTCTGTTTTACAACCTCTGCCTTATTTCTGACTCACCTGTTCTCCCCTGGATTGCAGCAGTAGTTTTGAAATGCCACAGGTCTCTGGTGTTGACACTCAGACCAGTAGTGACCTAGTTGTCCAAGAGTCAATTGGAAAGCTTTGAAAAATTGCAGCCCCCTGAACCTCACCCTGCCGAGAGAGAGCTTAGTTCAGTTGGTCTGTCTTTGCACAAAGTATCCCAGTGGTCCTGAGGTATAGCTGGTGGCCTAGGAGCTGTTTAGGGTGATTTCTTACCCCTGCCTAATCCCATACCCATCAGCCCTTCACATGTGTGCCAGAAAGATGATTCTAAAATGCAAGCCTGATCCTAATCACATCCCTGTTCAAAACTCTTAGTCCTGTTCCCATGTGTCCCAGTCCTCTGCATCAAATCCAAACCCTGAGCTTACACATAGGACCTGCCTTCATTTCTTTCCCTTCCTTTATCCTCAAGGCCTCACCCGTGGCAGGCTCCCTGCTGCCAGATTGGCAGAGCCACCTCTCCTGAGATGTGCTTAGTTAACTACCTGCCCCTGTGCCTTCCCACCTCCCTGTACCCACAGTGTACTTCCTTCCTTCTGATGGGCCATGTCTGCTTACCCTAAGGACTCAGCTGGAAGCCTTCCAGAGGCTTACCCCATCTTCCAGTACAGCACACTTCTCTTGTCCTTTTGTGGCCCCCATTGACTGATATATGTGCCCCACCCTAATACAATTAAAGAGACTGGTTCTATTTGACTTACCGTATGTGTGAGAGAGAATTACTTTCCACTCCAGACTGCCAGAAATGTCCAGACCACTCAGGTTTCAAGGTTCTGGACATCTGTGCTTCTAGACCTTCTAGGCTGTGATGATTTGGTCACCTCAGTACCATTGTGAATGCATGTTAGTTTAAAAGGATGCACCATGAAAAGGCACATCCTTCCAGACTCTGAAGGAAATCATTGACACTCTTCACTCAGGAACCATGTGACCATCTACAATACTTTCCCTCAGAATACTTACATGAAGTCACTATTTAATGATTTTCCGATACCCTTCTGCTGGGTGGGAGCACAACTGGGCCTATTGAGGTACTAACCAAAAGGGGGAAGGAGCTGTTGCCGAGATGACTGGACTGTATCTCCTTTGTGCTTTCCTCCTACTGCTCCTTCCACAGTTCCTCATCATCTCTGCACAGTGAGCCTTTAACAGTGACTTCTGGACACCCTGCCATCACTGTGCCTCCTGTGCTGGATGGCTTTTAGCATAGCAACACTGGCAGAGTGTCTAGGGCCATGAGGTCAAGTGAGGAGGGAATGAGTCACACACAAACATGTAAAGGTTGGGCTGGGAATTCACCTACAGCTGAGGACCTTTACGAGCCTAGAGTGCTAAAGAGCAGCAGGTACCTCATGAACCTCACATCTGAACAGCTAGAAACAAGGGAAATACTCCAAGAGCCCCCGATAATACTCACTGCCTTCTGGGTGTGGGTTGAGATTGGTGCTGGGCTGACACCAGCAGGCTACACTCCGGGAGGAGGGAACTGGGCACATCAACCCACATCTTGACAGAGTTGTACATATTGGTTCTTAGTGCCTATTCAGTGGGATTTATGCATTGACTTTGAAAGAAATGGAGTAGAATGCCTCTGTAGGGCTCGGGAGTTTCTGGCTCAGGAATTTCCATTCTTTTCCTTTGAGGGTATGTTTGGAGCATTATGCACAAAGAAGACCCATCCTAATCCTTGGCCTCTCCTGCCAATAAAGCCTGCACTGAAATGCTTGTGCTCTTGGTTTGTTGGTGGTGAGGTTGGAGTGATCCAAGGAGGATGAAACAATACAGTAGTTGCCATTTGTCTAGGAAGACCCTTGGCCTGAGAAGAACATATCTAAGGCACTTTTTCCTCTCTCCGTCAATGTAGGCTTTGATGACCTTCACGTATGTGCTGACCCAGGCGTCCCAGAGAATGGCTTCAGGACCCCCAGTGGAGGGGTTTTCTTCGAAGGCTCTGTAACCCGATTTCACTGCCAAGATGGGTTCAAGCTGAAGGGCTCTACAAAGCGGCTGTGTATGAAACATCGTAATGGAACCCTAGGCTGGATCCCGAGTGATAGACCCATCTGTGTGCAGGAAGGTAAAGTGCAGAAACCACTCTTGTGGCTCAGCTTGCTCAGGGCTGCAGGGCTGGTCTCTCTATTTCTGGCTAAACCTGTGTGACGGTGGAAAATCATGACTATATCCAGGATTGAGGTAGGGGACTAGTTAATCTAAGCATTAAAAGAAGCAGCCTTCCTTTTCTATGTCAATTACAATCTAATTTATCACCATTTTGTCAATGCAAGAGAGCAACTCAGGTAAAATTAGGGCTATTTGTTATTAGGCTGCCAACTCAGCACTCATTCCCATGTTACTCAATTAAAAAGTTCAGTAAATATATTATGCAGAAACTGTACTTAGTGATATAGAAGATATGTGTTACTCAGGGGATTAAATCAATTACTTTTTATCAGTTCCATGTCAGGTGTGATTCCTTTAAGGAAAGAAAGAACTGTGACAAGCAAGAGCCATTTGACATGGTAGACATTTATTTATAACAATTACCCATAAATCTATTGATGGTGACAAAATATTTCATTTACTTCTGGCAATCACCCTAAATCTATTGGTCAAAACAATTTTTTTTGTGTGTATATATATATATATATATATATATATATGCACACATATATATAGTTTTTGCTCAATGTAGACAAATTTAAAGTTCTAAAAAAACACATTGAGTTTGACTAATTGGGATGCTAAGTGGTTGATTATATATCTCAAAGGATCAATAAAGCCAAAGTTGGAATAAACATGAATCAAGAATTAATTCGAGCTGCAGATTTCCGTGAGGCATGGAACTTCCATTTCATTAAGTTCACTAGAACTTATTTACAGTTTCTCTTGATACTATTATTGAGTTTATTTGGGAAGGGAGCTTTTATAAAAATAATATGTACATGATTATTATAATTTAGTGTACATTTTCTTTACGATATTTTTAAAATAATTTGATCTGACAAGCATTTTTAAAATATCTATTATGCTGTTCCTTATAGAAATTGTGAAGGATCATTAAGATGGTGTCTTGTTATTAAAGTACTTGAGTCTTTTGATTTTATTTTCAAGATCTATGTTTCATGTATATGATCTATGTCACAAATATGAAGCATGTAGGAAGTATATAATATATATATATAAACCAGAATTAATATAGGGTTTTAAGGTCTTGTGGGGGTGAGTCTTTGTTTGGCAGTACTGGGTTTGAACTCAGGGCAGTGTGCTTGGTAGGCAGGCAGGTATTCTACCACTTGAGCCATGCTTCCAGCCCTCCAGCACTTTTTGCTCTAATTATTCTGGGGATATAGTTTCACTTTTTGTCCAGGCCAGTCTGGACAAAGATCCTGTGGATACAGGAGAGTTGTGTAGGACTGAAAGCCTCCACTCAACCTTGCTGGCTTAGGTGTTTAGCCAGAGGAAGGGTTGGCACTCTGGGTTCTTGTCTCACAAAGCCAAAGAATGAACTTCACAGGCAACAAAGGGTGAGCATAGAGGTAGAAAGTTTATTAAGGGAAAGAATGAAAGCTCCTGCAGGAAGGGAGGGATCCTTTATGGGTTTCCATAAAGTGATGAGACCTGCAGTTTTTGTTCATTTTCTCCAGGGCATTGCTCAATATCTATGCTAATTAGGTGTGCAGAAAGCAGCATTCCAGTTGACTGTGCCTTCAGCATTCTGATTGGTCATGTCCTAGTCTTTACACTGTCCTTATTCTGGTCTGTTCTGCTTTTTCTTCTTCCCACCCTTTAAGGTCACAGGGCGATCATAATGGAGGTTTCCAGGGGCCCTTCTGTCTTACTGTTTTATGCTTCCCACTGTTGTTGGGATGACAGGCATGCACCATGTCCATCTTTCTTCCATTGAGATAAGGTCTTGCAAATGTTTTGCCCAGATTGGCCTGAATCACCAATCCTTCCAATGTCAGCCTTCCAGGATTACAGGCATGATTCACTGGTGCTCAACTGGATTAAAAGTTTTAAAAATTAAATCATTTTTTCCTCTTGCATGTAGCCCATGCAAGCTATGCTTTCCATAAGATTCAATGTAACTGAAAGTTTATTTGGTTCATATATATAGATTTCCCTACCAAAACCTATTTCCTAAGATACCCAGTACTTAAGACCTAGACAAGCTCAGGGACATAAGACAATAAAGAAGACCAAAATAGGCTTCCTGTATATTGCCCAGAGATGAAGGCCCTCTGTTCTTTAATCATCGAAGGACAGCAGTTCATCACTATGTAAATGAGCTTCTCTCCAACATCGTATGCTATGTAGTAATTCCAAGAAAAGGAGTGAGAAGTCTCCTGAAGTAGGAGCTTCTATTGTGCAGATTTGCATGTGTAATTCCTTGCACTAGGCCAAATGTGCGGGGAGGGGCGTTGAGGAGTCAGCAACGTAAATACGACCCTCCATTTCCAAAGGAGGGTTCCATTCTGCATTCCAGTACTGGTGTTGGGTCTAATCATCATTTTGGAAGCTGGGAAGAACAGATTTTGTCAACTTGTGTACAATAGTGTTTATTTTTCATCTTAATGGTAGTATGCTGTGGCTTTGGGGAGCCACAGGTTAGTAAAAGAATTTACCAAGACAGAGAGTAGGAGAAAAGACTCCATTAAAGGGGAGGCAATGGCAGGCAACTACACAAAGGAGCTTTATACCTTGGCCTAGGCCACTTTTGATGGTTTCTCTTCCTTTTTGTGGACCTTCCTGATTGGTTGTCTCTTTCTTGGATCATTGAGTTTCACCTGCAGGAACATCCCCTGGGCTCAGTTCCTCTTTCCACCTGGCTCTTGGTATTTTGTTCCCACCATACCTCCATAAGTGGGGAACTTTCTTCCACATTGTTTGGTCTTTGAAAGAGCTGGATAAAAAGACTCATTTTGTTGTCTTGATGGTGGGAAAAAAAGACGTTATTAATGTCCTAAGGCTTCTTTATTCTACGTGGCTTATGAGAAGGTTGATGGGGGTACCCAGGGAGACTTTTTTTCCTGCTTAGTAAATAGTAGTTGCTTCTTGCTCAGTATTTATGCTGGGTGAATAGTAAGGACTACTGAATTAATTTGTTTCCTTTGCCAGGTAATTCTTAGAAGGCCAGTGAATTTTTGTAATGGCAGTAATAATAATTTATCACATTTTTACAGGTCATTAAAAGTGCTTTCAGAACCACTGCTTCATTTAACACATACAGCCACCCTACAAGATATGAGACTCATTGTTCTCATTTCATAACTAGGAAACTGAGGCTCAGAGAGGTTCACTCACTTTATCAAGGTCATACAGTTGATGAGGAAGCAGCAGAACTAGCCCTAATGTTACTGGAATCTCAGATCCATATTGCTCCCTGCTGTACCAAAAACCCAAGAAATAGAACTTGTTGTAAGGAAACAGGTTTATTCATGGAGGAGTCCTCTTTGTCTCAAACTTCTATCTTCCAGAGCTCATGTGTGCAGAGGGCTCTTATGGGACACAAGGAATTATAGTGAGACAATGGTACCCGACTGGGCTGGGATTTGTCTTCAGAACAACACCTCTTTCTCCTCTTCTTGAAAGTCTCTGGGTTTGGGCCTCCTGGGGCCAAAATCTGCATTTTCTTCATAGGTAAAGGAATACATATGAATGAGGAGAGAAGGGGACAGATTTCATGTGAGAATATGATGTGAAAAAGATGATTCCTAGAAGATTGGGGAAAGGACTGGGAAGCAAGGCAAAAACTAAAGTGTCCAGTTGATCCCCTCACATTCTGATTCTCTTCCACCAAAATAACCAACTGGACATTTTTCTGTAGTTTTTATGGTATAAATTTATGGTATAAATCTGTTTTCCCCATACACTGTTATACTAAGCCAGCATTTTTTTTTTCCTCTAAAGGTTGTATCTTGCTTTCTTTATGCCACAAAAGTTCCATTCGAGCCAGACACAAGAGCACATTGTTACAACAAATGACAGCAGCCAGATTCAGAGCTGCAGGTGTTATTGATGGGTGTTCCTTGGTGATCTTTGGGTGCAACATCTAAGATTAAGATGCTGCCCCAGGTGCACAAAAGAACTGCAAAGAGTAGGAAGATGCAAAGGATGATTTACTGGTAAACTGAAGGTACACCTTTACACATGAGGTGGGCAGTTCAGGTGAAGGCCAACTTCCTCAAAGTTGAGGTTTAGAGTTTTAATTTTCTAGTAGGACTCCTCCTGTGACCCTCCTCAAATGATACGGACTGCTTGGTGGTTGCCTGGGCGTGGAAAGTCATACACCTGCATTTTGGAGCTTTGAGAGGGTTAAGGCAGGTTCCAGTGCCTCTTTGCACTTCCCAGTTAAGTGTCACCAGTGATCATTACATAGGCTTGAACTTGATATGGGGAGTACACTGGATAAGGAGGATATAGGGCCCTTATCTTAATCACCAGTCCACAGTATGAGGCCATCTGAGGTTTTATGATTCTACCTCAGCAAAAGGGGAATGGAATCTTGTAGCCAGGAGCATTTCCCTGTTCCTGCTCATGTCTACCTAGCTGCTGAGTCTAACAAAGGGACTTATAGAAGTCATATAACTCATGCCTTCATTCTGATTTAGTTTTTGTTTGGAAGATAGAAAAACTGAGTCTCAAAGATGTTAAGAGACTTCCCAGGATTTAATTGAGGGTTTAGCAATAGACACACCTGTTCAAGCCCCAGGTTTTGTCACTGGTGCCTGGGCTCCCTCCAGTCTTTCACACTTCTGACCAGTTGTGTCAGAGAAACAGTTTTTATGTAAGTTCATATGCATTACAATGCTTTATAGCAACAGCACTTTGCACAGTGTTAGGCAAATGTTCTCTTGGACCCTCACACAGATTTCCCTCTCTTTTATTCTCCACCTCATTCTGAAACATGTGCCAGCCACTTTCCCTTCTCACATGACTCCTTTATTCCAACTAAATTGCTTATCCCAGGTTAACTCAATTTTAGTTTGGACTTATAGAACTGATACAATAGGAAATGAATTCATCTTATGACACCCAGAGTCTCTAACCTGAAAGATGTCAGTGTTTCTCCAGGAT